CTCAGGCTAGTAGGAGTTTAGAGTCAACTAAATGAGAAGCAAATTGAAAAGTTAATTTTGGTAAGGGCCCACTGTATAGCACTACTAAGAGGTGGTACTGTGGTGAGTTTTCACTTGATAGCATGTTTAAATCTAGCCTGCTGCTTCTATATACGTTGTAGCAACTGAAATGTGAATTAGCAGGTTTTTTTCCAACTCAACTGCTCTTCTTTCCAGAAATGTTAACATAGGATACTGGGAGGTTGGAAAAGTTCTACGAAGACTTAATATGGTGTACAGTGCACAGGATAATCCAAGCTTGCAAGTCATGAGTCACACATGCTGCCTTCCTCCCTTAATGTGCAATGTTGCCCCATATTCCACTTTCATGCCATTTAGCTGAGGAGCAGGCTTCCAGGAACAGTCCCCCAAAAGGCACATTAATACACAAGCTGGAAAATGTGTTAGTAGGGCTATTACATTACTGTGGAATACATGTCTTGGATAATTAGTGGGGGGAGGAGGTAAATGAGCTGATAGGATTTATTTTGCATTTAATTTACATAGTTCCTTGACAATATTAAGGCATCTTAGGGGAAAAAAGCACCATGAAAACCAGAACATAACACCACTTGCCTTTGAACCTGTCCCAAACACATTTTTTACAGTAATAATGTGTGTGGAGGAAGAAAGAGGCAAGAAGTAGGTGTATTAACTGACTTGGAGAGTGTGGGTAGGCTTGAAATTTATGATGTTCTGCAGGTCTTGGCAGTCTACCAAGGATTCCCCTTGTCCTCTCTACTTTTCAATATGCAGAAAGCCCACTGAGATGAGAAATAAACAGCATATTGCTATCAGACATGACTGGGAATATGCTTAAGTAGTGGATTCAGTTTAAGACCCAGTTAAATGCTTCAGTGTTGCTGTGTTCATGAGAAGAGCTGTATTTTAAAAGCCTCCATATATAAATGAACTTTCTCATCTGCATGAGAAGAAACAGGACAAGATTTGGGGTCAGCAGGCTCAGCTCTATTAACTTGCTCATCCCAGCAGGCCATTTAAAAATAGAACAGAGTGGTATTGGTCTTAAAAATATTCTTACATTACCTCCTTGGGAGGATAAACAAGTGCTTTAACATGAATAGATTTGTGAAAAGAGGGAGAGAAAGGAGGGAAGGATGCATAAAAAAACAGTAAGCAGTTTGGCAATTTTGGTTGATAACCCTCTTAATGTGATCTAAGTGAAGAGGACGTGTTGATGAGTCCTTTTCAGTGGAGGTGGGAGCCAGGCTTAGGTGACAGTGCTGACATTTTGTCATGGGCCCCACCGTAAGACCTGGTAAGGATCAAAATCTTGTTCCTGGAATGGTGTAGCTTCCACTACCTGTTGCTGCTATGCAGTGCAGCCTCTACAGCCTTCTCGGTCCGTTGACTCTGGAGACAAAAGTCATCTTATGCCTAACAAGATGCATCTACGTTGCTGTCATCTTCATTGCGTGTTTCATATCTGCACTTAACTTTCTGGCCAGGAGACAGTCATCCTGTCATCCACAGTCTATGATATTTGGTATCTAGCAGTATTTTAAGAAACTGCTGTTTTCAGTTAGCATGGGTTACGCTTTGCAATCTCATGGCGTTTTTCAGATACTCGGGTGGTAACCGTGGGCAATTTGCGGGGACATACACCCTGGGCATGGGGTAGCCCGGGACACCCTGAGGGGCCGTGACTCCAGACAGCATTAAAAAAGGGACCTCCTCCTGCAAGAAAAATGCTGTCCCGCCAGAGCATCAGTCAGTAGTGTTGCTGAGGTGGTGTCTGGATGGGGCCTTAATGGTTACCACATTTATGAAGTGCCTTGGGAGTTTGATTTGAATAAACTTTAGTCCCAGGAGATTGAGTTCAGAGAGTTTCTCCCATCTATGACTTTTTGCAGTTCTTTTGTTGCATTCAACCAATTTGCGATTTTATTATTATTATTATTTTTAATGCAGGCAGATTTTTTCCAAAGCAAAAGCAGGCTGTGAAAATCTAAAGATCAGTTTCTGAAACAGCCATGCTTAGCCGTTTCCTGTTGTGAGCAAGATTATACCAGTGTGCTAACAGTTTGGCAAGTCTGTTCTTGAGCAGACCTGTTGAGCAGATAAACAAACAAACAAAAACTCTGCTTGTATGTTGTGCTGGTGATGTTTGCTTTTTCCCTCCCTCTAAAAATGTTTTTAATGAAAAGAATGTGGCTTTAAAATGTCCTTTTGCTTCTCATATAAATCAATGTCATGCAACCCCCTCATATATGTTGTAGATGCTTAGAATATGAATGCTCTGTACATTATGAAAAGGGTATTTGGAGTAATTTTAAACAATATTCTGATTACTGGGGTTTAAATTTGGCCTGGGATACCCAGCAGCCCATACTTCCCACAGTCTACAGTTCCTTGTTTTCCAGTCCCTTAGGAAGGTTATGGAGAAGCTTTTCCCATCCCGGCTGCAGAAACAGCGAAGTGAAACATGAGCAATCACTGCGCTCCACTGTAGCTGTAGTGGCCCAGGATGTGACAGGAACTAGTGGAGGCACCAGCAGGATCCTGTAGAGCTGCAGGGGAAGGACTGTTGGGCTGGCACACATTAGTCATCCCGAGTGGGCCAGTCTCATGGGGAGGAACATCGTCTTGGGAAAAGCTGTGAAAGTGAGCTCTGGAAAATTTCAGGCTTCTGGAGGGCTTGCTATTTCCAGAGAGTAGTTTGTAGATTTAAAAAGACAAAGAGAGATAACTTTCTGTAAAATATGTGGCATCCCATGGATGTCTTGCTGCTTTGCTCTTCTGTGTGCCACTTTTTCTTCTTGGAGTATGTTCTGCTACCATTTTAGTGTCCCTGCTTTGCTGCAGAAGGAATGGTGAAGGGTATTTCACTTTTTTTTTTTTTTAAAAGGTTTCTATTTCCTCAATCCTCCTTAATGTTGTGAGCTTCTTTCCTCTTGAGATGTCCTTGTTCCTCTCTTATCTTTAGCATACTCTTTTTGTACCTCAAACTGTGCCTTGCTATGTCCTTGGGCCTTTTTGTTCCTGCCATGGGGCTGTGGAAAATAGGGGCAGAGCTGAGAGGAGACGTTTTTTTCCACCTTGGCTTAAAATGTTTTCCCCTCCTCCCTTGGTGGGATGGTAAGTCTTGAGGAGAAGACCGCAGGCTTTTGTCATTAGGCAGAGGTCCAGGGTGGGAAATTGGAGTTGCATCTCTCCAGGGCTTGCTGAAAAGCTTTGGTTCAAAAAGTTATAGGGTCAAGGTGAGGTCAGTCTTGGCCACTGCACGCATGTTACGAACCTAACTTCATTTCAAAATCCAAACCAGCTTGACACCAAGCTATAAAAAGAAATGCATGTAATGAAGAGAGTTTACAGAGCCAGCAGAAGCCTGAGTACAGTAATTTATTTATAGAGAGCATGTGGATTGGTTAATAAGAGGAGAGTGCAGCACAATACACGTTATAAAAAAAAAAAAAAAAAAAAAAAAGCAGAGGCAGTGAGTTTTGCAGCATTTCACCAGAGTCTTTTGTAATGCACTGGCAATAGCTGACAGTTAGCTCCATGGAGGGCATCATATAAGGCATGAAGGGGTCAAGATTTCTCCAAAGAGACTAGTGGCTTGAGGTGCTTCAGTTCTGGGGTGCCAGTCTGGAAGGAATCTGTAAAGAGATAAAGAATTTAGTCCAGGGAAAAAATACATATTGATGTCCATCAGCTATAGTGGATGCTAGGTATAGGCTTTTGCATGGGAAACTTGAAAATTGGTGAGGAACGAGGTAAAGGAACTGTGACTTTAGTGAAATGTTTTGTTGTGGTTTTTTGTCATTATTTGTGATAAAAGTGAAGAAATAGTGGGCATATCTCTTGCTGGAGAGTGTGATTGATTCAGAGAAGAGCCTTTGGGGATGATGCTTGGATGTTGGGAAACCAGGCTGTTTGACTGGAAGTCTCGGGCAGACTGCTGGGTGTTAAGTGGAGAGCTGGAAGATACCAATACTAGGACCATTTCTAAGTGCCTGTTTAGAAAAAAAAATCCAGAACAGCTAATTGATACAGCCTCACCTCGTGTAAAAATATACTGGAAAAAAATAGTTTTTTGTCAGAAGTCAGCTGAGAGGAGTTACAGCTCACCGTGGCTGGAGGGGCTGGTCGCGCTGCCTGCCAGCTCTGGCTCTGCTCCAACTGCAGAGCAAACCAGTTTAATTTCCTCATCTGCAATCCCCCGCCCCACCCCACAGTTTGCTTTTTCTGTGTTAACTTTCTGCCATTTTAGCGATCTCAATCAGCTTATCATATGATCCGATGAGTGCCAGAAGGAGCTCAGTGCTCCCGGGAGAAATATGTGACAGGAGGCTGGAGGGAGGCAGGGGAAGGAAGGGTAGGAGCTCCCCACCACAGGAGCTGGGATCTATTAATTCAGCTCCAGCTGTACTGAGAAACTTTACCCTTATGGTGGCATAGCTGAAGGGAGACGATGTCTTGTTCTTGTCTAGCTATCGTGAGACAGGCATAGAGAGGTGTTGCAGGTCTGATGCATCACTTGAAGAAATCTCATTTTTTTAACTGGTGAAGACTGAAACAAAGAGAAATGTCTTTTTGCAACCCCGCTAAGCATACTTGCATTTACCTAGTAAAATATCACCCAGGTACCAGGCACTGGTGCATAGAAATAAAATATGCAATACATGGAGTTTAACTATTCTGGCATGTTAATAAACTTCAACTGTCATTACTGAGTACAAGCTTTGCTAAAGAAAACAGAAGGGAAGTTGTGAATGTAGTCTGTCTGTGCTTAATCTTAATAATCATCCTTTTAATGTTGAGAAAAAGAAATGCATTCTAAGATTTGTATAAGTACATATTAAAAAGGAACTTTTTTTTAGTCAACTAGAGTATTTCTTGTTTTTTCATATGAAGTATGAAAGGGATCCATCACAGCTGCGGAAAACCTAGTGTCTAGAGCTCTCCTCCAAATGTTTTGCTCTGTGTATGCTGAAGGGATGGGTGAGATGCTGGTGCTGACAGTTCTCTCTCTTCTTCAGGGTCGGCATGTCAAAACGGGTCAGCTAGCAGCCATCAAAGTCATGGATGTTACTGAGGTAAGTAGAGGAACATTCTGCTTTTTTAACAATGTGGGTAAAATTTAATAATGAGAGATGGCATATGGCTTACTTTGTATTTGCCTTGAAGGGCATGGTCCTTGCATGTGAATGTTTGCTTTCTGTTTGCAGGACCTGACCTTGAGTCCATGAGCCCTTTAAGAGATTTCTGTGTGCTTGTGTGCCAGGGCTGCTGGTTTTCACAAATTGCTTTGCCTGGTCCCAGGACTTAAGAGCACATGTAGCACTCCCTTTTCAGGAATTTCTCAAAAGAGGGAAAAAAGTCACATTCCCTGCTTCCCATTATTTTTTTTTTTCAAATGTAGCGTTTACTGAAAAAGAAGGTGAGAAGAATGCTTGATGTAGAGAACAGTAGTTTCCCTGGTACATTTTCAGCTTAAAAAGGGTACACATTTATTCAAAGGAATGGGTCCAATAAAGTTCCAAGAAGCCTGAAAGGAGAAACATCTGCAGGAATGATGAGCAGATTGCTGGCAGAATTCAGCAGCGTAAAGTAGTAGTTATAACTGACCCGGGGGAATTTACTGTGGAGCTTTAGATGGGAAATTAACCTAGCCAAAGAAATAAAAAATATATGCCCATATTTGAATCCTTAGATGGCTTGCAGTTTTATGCTGTTCAAAAAGCAATCAGTTTAAATTAAGTCTTCAAAACAGATCAGGAAAAGCATGGCTTTTCCCCTGTCGATTCCATTTGTGTTTTGTAGAGGTACATCCACAAATTAACACAACAGTTTCAGAGTTAAAATCAAATGAGATCCTCCTGTGTGATATCTGCAATGCTTGACTGATATCATGCTTCTGAAGAGAGGTTATGCCTCTTCAAACCAAGCGTCTTATTCTCTGAACTCCTCAATCTTATATAGGTATTAGGGGAAAAATTATATCAGTGTGTGTGCATTGTACAAAGCAGGGGGTCTTTGTCAAGCTGCTTATATTAAGCAAAACTCCTACAAGGGTGTTGCTGCAAAATGTTCTTTATTTTAGTGTGTGCATAGGTGCCAACAAATAAAAATGGCCTTGGACACAAGCTCCTAGGCAAGTGGCTGGGGTGTGATGGGTAAACAGGCAGGAGAGAGAGGAAAACGACACGGCAGGGTCAGGTCAACTGATAGGACTTCAGTCCTATCTCTGAATCTCTTTGTGATTGATGAGCAGTGTGATTGCTGCTCTCTAACTTAAGCTGTTGTGTCTGCTAAGAGCTAGACATTCTTACTTGTTAGATGGCCTCATAAAAATCAATTTTCAGCTGGAGATTTTCAAAGGCTGCCTTCATGAGGAGGTAGTGCTCTTTTGCTGCAGTTAATGAGCAGGCAAACCAGAGAAGAATGAAGGTGCATTGTCATACAGTGAATGTTCTCTGCGTTGCAAATGTTTCCATTTGTGGAGCAGTTTTAGATAGGGCAGCTTGCTGGACTGCACAGTGAAGGCTTCTTCCATAACGTTAAGACTGGCTGTACTTCACACTCCCTCTGGTTTTAATAGCATATATTAATCACAAACAGTTGTAATGGAGAAGTTGAACAGCAAAAGGAAAACAATTGAAAAATGCTGTTATAGTATGGCTGAGCTTTTACTGTGGGAGATGGCTTATGTTTTGAAATTTTCTGTAATTTTTGTCTGGTTTTGAAAAGTCTGGTTTTTATCTCACAAGCTCATGCTTTTTTGGGGGATGAAGGGCAGTCAGAGGGAGCAGCTTGGAGATGTTAGCCCCATGCAGCGTAAAACTGTTGCTCCTACCAGTGGAGCTCATGTGGTTTTGCTTCAAAGTCATGAGCCTGTGGAAGCTAAAAATGTGGTGTAAGTTCTTCCAAGTTGTGCTAAGTCAGCTTCACTTTTTGACACCGGGCATGGATGATAGTGTTGCTAACACCAGGCATGAGTGAGACCATTGCATGTAGCATTTTCTCAGTGGCAGATGTGGCTGTAGGATATTCCTTGCTGGTTCCTTGCCTGTTTCCCAACACTTGTGCTGACACAACTGCCCTGGGGACCAGATGGTGACCTGGATCAGTGAGTAGTTCCCAGTTCCAGGTTAAAAATACCCTCACTCCTCTCTTACCCCCAGTTATTTATAACTTGGATCGGTTCGTTGATCTAGTTTAGCACATGGCATTGCAAACAGTTGTGCTGTCGCTATGAAGAGAGTGGCCTGCGACTGGAAGGGAGCTGCCAATGGCCGTGAAGGAAATGGGACGGTATCTCAAAGCGATTTTGCTGCCAGAGATGACCGTATAATCAAGCCATGGCTTCAGTTCTTCAAGAGATGGTTTCCTGAACACCCCCTTTTGCTGGTGGACCGTGCAGCTCCATCCTGGTTCTAGCTCTCTACAGCTTATGGGGATGGTGGGAGGAGAGAACGTGGGGACAGAGAAGGCAGTGACGTGACTGCCACCCTCTATGCTGCCCCAAAAGAAATACTGAAGGAACCACAGCCTCAAATTTACCTTCTACACCTGCTTGAAGAGCTACAGTTAGATGAATTGCTCTTGTAGGCTGATGGTAACACTAACTATGTCCATGACCGTGGGAAATGGGGCTTGAGTGGAAACTTCCACAAAACTGAAATTGTGGGGTTTTTTGATAAGCGACTACTGAAGCTCTTATGCTTTGTGCATGTTTTGCTGGCAGTGTTATGCATTTCTGCTTAAATACAAGCAGTGCTATGGACAATGTCTGATTGTGTTTTGTCTAACCTGCATTGAAAACAGACACAAGACTTACTTTCTTCTGAGATACATCTGATCCAGTGCTTGCTTTGCCAAATGCTTAACAAATTAGAAAGCCTGAAGTGTTGGCATGCTCTGAGGGCACACCTCAAATTTTCAGTTTTCAAGGCCCAAATTCTGCAGTTCACACATTGCTTAGGACCAGTGAGGTTACGTCAGTTCTGGGCTGTAAAGCTTTGATCATGTGAATAGGAAGGGATGTCAAAATCAGAGTGAAAGCTTCCCTTTAAAAAGCTTTGGTTGGCATGAGGAAAATGAGGTAGTATAACCTCTGACTAGAGACATTGGAAGAAACATTACAGCTCTGTAATGTACATTGTGCTGTGGAAATGCTCTTCATCCTTCTCAGCTTTTCTTGTGGTTTTCTCTTCAGATTTTAATTTAAAAAAGAATGGTGGTAAGGATGAGAAAAGAGGAGGTGGGCTGAAGATATCAGCTTGATCTTTGAATATATTATGACTAGTTAGTACTGCTGCCTGAAGTGTCGGGGGGGGGGCTGTTCCTGTGCATAAAACTTTACTGTCTCTTCTACTTTTCTCCTCTCTAAATAAATTAAGAAAAGATCTAGAAGATTGTATGGATCTTTATAGCTCTTTAGATCTACAGCACTGAAGCAAGTCCTGTAGGATCTAAAGATCTATAAGTCTACCTAGAGTAGAGTGGTACATATGTAGGTCCTATTTTCTCTTTCTGAGGGCAAAGCTAGAGAGCATTTAGGGTAAAAAATTTCACTGGAGCATAGAACAAATAAAAGTGAAGAATCACCAGTCCTCATCAATTGAAAGCTATTCTGTTGTTGGAATGAGCCCAATGACCGTAAAAGGGAACAATACAAACTATCAGCATATATACATGTTTTAAAAATTATTTTCCAAAATGTACATATGTGGGATGAATCTTGGGCTGTATGCATGTTGTCGGGGAGGTGTTATTTAAGAGATTCCTGTAGTCTGTCATTAATTTTTTTATTGTAGAGTCTCTGTTCCTTTTGGGGTATTGTTTTGGAGAAAGTGATGTTCAGTCCGTGCTGACCCCTTCCACTCACTCACCGTGCTGTTGGGTTTCCATGAACTCCTTGCTGCTTTGTGCAGCACTGTGGCATACCAAGTGAGCCGTGACTGGTGTTATCAGATATAACACAAGTACATTGTAAGATTTGGCAGTCACTGTTTAGTTAGAAGAATCCATTTTCTTGTAATGCAAATAACATTTAAAACCTTGGCAAAGCTTGCTTGGCAAATCTGCCTGCACCTAAGCTGTTAACTTGCATTACACCCTAAACAGACAGCTTGACTCTGCTTCACTCTTGGAGGCTTTCTTTGCAGCTGCACGGTTGTTTCCAGTGTCACTCCTGTGTTCCCCTTCCAGCGATGCTTTACTCTTTGAAAGGCTTAGTAACTGATTTTGAGGGAAAAACACCATCGCTTCTTTTTTATTATAACCCCTGACGCTGCTGCTTCTTCCTCCTACCTCTTCCCACACACACTCTTGGCATCCCTTGGGAAAGTTTTCCGCATGCCTTTTTAATAGCAGCATTTCTCAGCTCTTGTGCCCAGTGTTTCATGACTTGTCCAGTCTAGTCTGTGTAAAATTATGCTAAGTAAACAACTGGATCCTGTATCCTGCTGATTTATGGAAGAAGCTGGATTGCTTTTAGTGCTTGCCTGTCTTACCCTTTCTGTACATGCTCTGCAGAAAAATTAACAACCCCAAACCAAAACCTCCAGGCCTGCAGAGAAACACGGCACATCTCCCCTGCCTAGACAGGAAAGGTTACCTGAATTATTCATTGCTGTCTTCCGGACTCTGCTGACTGCTTTTTTTTGTTGTAGTAGGCAAGTCACTTTGATTCTTGTGAGTCTATGTCTTAGGGCCTATGTGGTGTTATAAACAACGATCATGTGGATGATCTGTCCATCTTCTGTAAGACATCTCAAAAGCAGTCTGCAGAAAGACTGCAGATGAATATGTGCTCCCACAAATGCAAGCAGACAAAATGAGGAGAAAATAAAAGTAATAACCACTAAAAGTTTGCCTTAACTTTTATGTGGTTTTGTTTTGTTTTGTTTTTCTTCACTAAAACCCAAAGACTGTGTGTGGATTTTGATCTGTTTGGAGGGGAAGAAAAAAGGAAAATAAAAAGTTGATGCCTTACTGTACTTGGGAAATGCAGACTTCACAGCACTGTGCAACAGAACTAGGGCAAGCCAGTCTGGAGAAGCTGAATTTGGGTTGGCCTTTTAGTGTGGAG